TACGCCGAAACCACGGGACTGGCAGACCTCCTGCCTGCCATGCTTGGGGCGGCAAAAAAGCTAGAGCCACCCCTGCCAATAGCCACTTGCATTTCTGTGGCACTTTTCATCTGAGGAGCTCAGCGCCATTTGCAGAATAGTGCTTTGTTTACCTTCTCACGCAGGCCCTTGTATAGGGTGTTATCCCCAGAAATGCTGAGCCCCAGATGTGGAAGTTAGGAGCCTAAATACCTTGGAGGATCTGGGCCAGAGAGATCAGTTGACTTGTCCAATGTCATGTGGCAAAGACAAGAAAATCAGATCATGGTGGGTATACCAGGAATTAATTTGGCTCTAGAAGTCCTGCCCCCCCCCTAGCTTTAACTACTAGACCATACTCCCTCCCATATCTGAGAATTGAACCCAGGAATCCTGACTCCTCCTCGTCTCCTTTAGCCACTACACAACCTTCCCTGCATCGTTGTTATTTCTTTGTCTTACCATAATGCCTAGGAGTCCTGTTCATGGACCAAGACCCCGTTGCACTAGGCACTGTCCCAAGGAGCTTACATCTAACTATAAGACAAGAGACAACAGAGCGATACAGACAGGCAGGAGAGTACAAGGAAATGAGACAAAATTGTGATATTTTTCTGCCTTACAAAGTTAACCTTACTTGAAAATCAGGATTTTTGTTTAGTTTTGTGCCGTCCATCCTTGCGTTGCTCATCACAGCAGGAACCCGAAGGAAAGGGTGTGTGATGTAGTGATCCAAAATCACACCAGTAATTATGCATGCTATGATAAGGGTAATCATCAAATGTCATGCTTCAGGGCATAAGCAGTTTGCCTGCAGGGGTCAGGAAGGAATTTGCCCCATCCATGTCCAGCATTGCACAATTGTCCAGGTCACTGCACGTATGTCCCTCTCTACAGCATTAGATACTGGCCACTGGCAGAGAGAATTCTAGACTTGGGGGACCAGTGGTATCTGACCAACTTCAGCTTTCAGACATTGGATCTAGACAAAGGCATAACAAGAGCCTTCCCCCTTCTTCTGATGCAGCTGGTAACGGAGAGCGGCTTAGAGCAGTTAGCTGCATCTCAGCTCACATTTAGGAGTCAGGTGACGCTTCATAGGCACATCAGGTGTGAGCAACCCATTGCATCACAGGAAATGTTCCATCTTCTCACCACGCCCTCTTGAAGATCCTAAGGGGACTACAGGGTGAGCTCTGAAAGCTCGTAATAAAGTTCTGAACTAGGAAATTTCAGTGCAAACACCCAGGGTGCTTTTTCCTCTCCTGGTTTCAGTGTATACGGAGGGCAGGTCATCCTAACCAGCAGCTGTGCAGATGATTAGCTGCATCTGGATCTTCATCCGCAGGATCTCCCAGCACCCAGCCCATCCTTTCTCCCCTTTAGCCTCCTGCTGCAACTTAAATCCCCTACAATGGGGAGCAGAAGGTCTTTCGCTCTCTCTGTTGGGCCCCCACTGCCTCTGGTTTTGTGCATCCTGTGTCCTGCATCCTCAGCTATGCAGCAGGGCACGAAAGCTTGCAGGAGAGGCAGCGTAGTCAGAACATTGGACTGGGAGCCAGGAACGGCTGCATTCGATTCCTAGCTCTGCTTCTCCTTCCGTCTGCAGCTTTGCAAGTCACTTAGGCCCAACTTTACAAAAGTGGTTGGGGTCCCCAACTTGACACTCGCTGGGACTGATTTTGAGGGGCCTTTTGGGTGCCCCGCACCTCTTAAAATCAGGCCCAGCATGTCTTAGCTTGGGTCCCTAAAATTAGTATCCAGTTCTGGAACTTTTGGCCGTACCCACTGTGTGCCTCAATTTGCTCATCTGTAAAATGGGGGTGTGTGATAATACTTGACTGTGCTGCAATGTATCCATGAGGACTGATTGGGGTAATAGTGAGCTTTGGGGATATTAAGTGCTAATTATTAAGACCTGCTGGATTCTTTCCTAGTTTAGGAAATGCACTTTTCCTTGCCTGTGCACTGGTAAATTTGTTTTTATTGTCAACAATGAAACAAAATGTAAGGTGAAATAATTGTTCTTAATGCACCGTTCTGATTGAGAAAGATCTAGCATGCTCATGGCAGCTGTAACTGAGACATGCACATACTGTACTAACGTTAACATCACAAGCCATAACATAAAACTATAACCCCTAACTCTTATATAGCCCTCTTCACCCGTAGATCTCAAAGCGCTTGACGGGTCAGATTTTCTAGATGGGGAAACTGAGGCACAGAGCAGGAAAGTGACCTGCCCAGCAGGTAAGTGGCACAACCCAGACTGCATGCAGGTGTCCTGAGTCCCAGTCCAATGCTCTGAAGAAGACAGGAGTCCTGACTCCCATTCCATAGCGCTAACCATAAGACCATGCTGACTCATTTGTATATGCCCTGTGACAATGGAGTGCGCTTAACTTTCCACACACACAGTAAATGTCAAGTGAAGCATAGTATCAGGGGTAGCCGTGTTAGTCTGTATCCACAAAAACAACAAGGAGTCCGGTGGCACCTTAAAGACTAACAGATTTATTTGGGCATAAGCTTTCGTGGGTAAAAAATTTCACTTCTTCAGATGTGTCAGTTTGCCAATCAAGGTAGCTGTACACTATAACTTTGAATTTCTTGACTTTTTGTGTAATTAAAATTGCAACCACCGGGTTGTGTTAACAGAGGCTTGTGTCCCTAACAAAAGCATCTATTTGAACCTTTCTGGGTTGATCTTCATAACCTTCTTGACCTAATATTAAACTGCTGTGTTGCAATTTTATAGCAGGAAATAACTTGTGTTTATAAAAATAAAATTCAAGTCCCCTGGTATTGACTTGATTGTTTGAAATAAACTAATTCCAGCAAGAAATTAAATAGTTGCAAGGATAACATCCTCAGGGGAATCCAAACAATAATTCGGAGTCTGAGGACACCGTGATCTTCTAGTGATTGAGGTTGCAGCTGGGAAATAAGTAGGATTTACTATTTGTTTAGCACCAGCAATGTGCATGGAGATGTACAAAATGCAACAGTACTGCTGTGAAAGTTTCTCTTGAATGAACATGCTTAAACCAGTGTTGTCAACTCTCAGGAACCCCGAGAGCTGGCTGGTTAATACATGTTGGGGTCAAGGTACCTGACCAGCTAACACGTGTTAAAACTACAGCTGCCTTGTCCTCAATACGATTTTACCATGTGTCAGCCGATGTGTTAAAAACACACTTCTCTTCCTCGTGAACACAAGGCAGAAACGTTGAGTGACCCAGTTCTTGGGGGCCACACAGCAGACTCTTTGTGCCTGATTCTCACTCGTGCGGAGCACCTAGCATTTGTACTGAATTCAACTGGAGTAGTGAGTTCTCTGCACTTCTGAAAACTGGGGGTACCAGAGTCACAGATTCATGATAGTCTGTTATGTCTGAAGTTAGACACCCCAAATAGTGGGCACGCCGGTGAGCTTTTGGCTGTAAGCTTTCCATGCCTCAGTTTCCCTCCCTGTGAAATGAAGACAGTGAGACTGATCTTTGTAAAGTGCTTTGAGAGCCACAAAGGAAAAATGCTGTGTATTGTTATTTTCTTATAAAAAATGACACCTTTTTATGCCCTCCCCTCTGCTCCCTGAGTGTTTTCTAGTCACAACTGCTGATTTGACTTCCCAGCGTAGTCTTTACTCCTGGTAGTCTAGCAGAAACAATTCCGCGGTGTGGGACCATTTGCGGGCCCAAAGACCAAATCAAAGAGAGTCTGGAGCTCAAACAGAAATTACAGGCTTGATGCAGGAATTGTAGAGGAGATCAAGGGAAACATGATGATCATCTGGTCTGACCTCCTGTCAACGTTAAGATTTATTCAGTTTTTCCTTTACTGAAACATCCTTGTGAATATCTTCAAAGACGCTAAAAACTTCACGAAAAGTAATCGAATCCAGGACATACTATTGAGAGAATTGCATCTGAAGAAGTGAGGTTCTTACCCACGAAAGCTTATGCTCCCAGTACTTCTGTTAGTCTCAAAGGTGCCACAGGACCCTCTGTTGCTTTTTATTGAAAGAATGATCAGCCCAGAGCTAGATTTTAAAAAGAAAGAGTTAGGGTCTGATTCGGCAAAGATTTAAGCACAGGTGGGTAATTTGAGTAGCCCCCCATTGCAGTACATGGAACTACTCCTGCGAGTAAAGGTATTACACACGTGCTCTGAGTATTTGCAAAAACAAAAAATCAAATGGACAGTGCCCCTTTAAATTCTACCTTCCGGGCTCTTTTGAGACGCTTCCTAATGTGCAACACCACCAACCTAAAGGCAGTTACGCGTCAACCCTTTTTTTTTTTTTAATTTAAAGGAGCCACGTCTATATAGGTTTGTGCCTGTGGACAGCAAAGCCAACCCCATCGGCCAGAATAGAAACAGGTATTTATTTTCTAAACAAATGCAGAGTCAGGAGTCTAGGGGATGATTTCTGTTGCTTTGGGGTATAATCTTTATGGCAAACTTCAAACTACTCAAAAGAAGACTCTCAAAGCACTTTGTATCTTTCCGCCCCCATTTTCCAGATGGGGAAACTGAGGCATAGACCTGCACTGAAGTCAGTGGAGCTCTGCATGGGTTTGAACAGCCTTTCAGAGTTTTACAATCCTAATTCTGCAAACGTTTAGGCAAATAACTAGTATTCGTGGACACAGCTCCCCTCCGCATCCCCTTTAAAGGGGCTTGAGTGGTGGTTGCAGGGTCAAACTCTTCATTTTGCATTTTGCAAGGATGTCATTAAAAACAAATAACATAATCTACAGTGCAACCGCTTACACCAAAATGACACCAGCCACTTAGAACAAGGATCGTGCCTGCAAAGATAAGAAATTATATAAAAAAAAACCACCACCACCACCAGGTAATGGGATGGCCATGAGGCTCAAAAAGGGCTTCTGGGATTTTAAATCTCCCATCATCTGGGCCGCCCCTAACCTCTGCGCGTTTTCGGGAGCAGCTGGGGAAATGGGAGATGGTCCCTGGCCGGGCAGCCCACTTCTTATGGCAGGTCTCTGATTCAGAGGTTAGGAATTTGCATCTGATTGCTATTTGTCACCCAATGATTTGTCTACATCCAGCCATGAGCACGCCTTAGGCAGAAGGGGGAGGGGAAGGGGCCAGGGCTTGCATTGCCTGAAATGAGAAATTTACCAATCAGGCCAGATAGGGGTGCATTAAAACAAACACAATTAAAAGAGAGATACCGAAAAAAGAAAAAGAAACCAGGAGCGTCCAAGTTACTCGGCAGCAAGGTGGACCAGCTGCCGGGGGTCTCGCGGGCTGCCCCGAAGCTCCCCAGCAGAGAGCCAGCCCTGGGTAAGCAAATCTCCTTTCTTCTGCCCTGCAAAGTGGGTTCAAAGCCATAGGGCCAGCCTGCCGGCTGAAACCCCAATCGCTGGGAAGAGGGGAAGGTTTGCGCTGGCTTTTAGTTTTTGCATTAGCACAAGGGGGAGCGGGGGCGCGGAGTGGGGTCCCCGCTAAACAAAGTTGCAGGATGAATGGGGGGCGCCCGGGGGGGGGGGGCGTTCCTGCAGCTGAGCCTGGCTGCAACTTTTATCGACTTCCCCCATGTCGAGCCTTTATTAGCATGATCACCCGACAACCCCCCCCCACACACACACCACCCCCTTTTTCTGCCCCCCTTTAAATTAGGTGTAACTTCCAAAGAAATCTAGCCTGTTTGTGTGTGTGTGTGGGGGTGGGGGGGT